CGAGGATGTGGGGAAAAAGGCACACTCATAAATTGCTGATGAGACTACATGTTGKTGCACAATATGGAAAGCAATATGAAAATTCCTTGGAAAACTGGGACTGGAACCACCTTTGACCCAGCTATCCTTCTCCTAGGTCTACACACAAAAGACTTAAAAACAGCATACTACAGGGACACAGCCACATCAATGTTTATAGCAGCACAATTCACAATAGCTAAACTGTGGAACCAATCTAGATGCCCTTCAGTAGATAAATGGATAAAAAAAATGTGGCATATATATAAAAAATGGAATATTACTCAACAATAAGAGAATAAAATCATGCATTTGCAGATAAATGGATGGAGTTAGAAAATATAATACTAAGTGAAGTTAGCAAATMCCTAAAAAAAACAAATKCCAAAAGTTACCTCTGATATAAGGAGCCTGATTCCTCTAATATAAGAAGCCTGATTCATAGTGGGATAGGGAGGGAGAGCATGGGAGGAGTAGAGGAACTCTAGATAGGGCTGAGAGATGGGAAGGAAAAGGAAGGAGAATGGGGTTAGAAATGATGATGAAATGTGATGGACATGATTATCCAAAGTACATGTATGAAGACACAAATTGGTGTGAATATAGTTTGTATACAACCAGAGATATGAAAAATTGTTCTCTATGTATGTAATATATAATAGTAATGCATTCCGCTGTCATATATAAAAATTAATTAAAATGAATTTTAAAAAAGTAAAATCCATATGAGGCACTTATATAAAAACTTAAATATTCTATAATAAAACTATATTATTTTGGCTAATAAAGTTTTTACTATTTGAAAAAATTTAGAAATCAACTAGAAACAATGATTGATATGTTTACATAAGAAATACTTCTTTCTATATTTCAAAACACAATAAGAATTCAAACACAATAAACTGCAGATTTTCTAGGTAAAATACATAAACCAAAACATCAACACATTTTAATCCTTTTATGGTTGTTATTATGTACCAGATGCTGTTCTGAGCGCTGCACAAATATTAACACATTTGAGCCTCATAGCAAAACTTATACACCAGCATCTTTTAAATTCCTTCTACTGGAGTTGTGGAAAGAGGGAGGTGGGCGGAGAGCATGACTCCCTGTGGCTTCCTCCTCCATATCCTGCTGCTTCTACTGCTGTGCAGCCCTGTCAGAGGGGAGGCACAAGGAGGAACTGAAGACAAAGAATGACCACATCAGCCTGAAAATGTTGGGGCAGGATGGCTCAGTGGTGTAATGCAAGGTGAAGAGGTGTAGCTACTGAAGAAGCTGATGAAGGCAGTGCTTGTCAGTGAGATAGGTTAGATTCAGGGTTGATGGGCAACCAATTAGTGAAATATTTCAGCCCAGCTGGAGATGGARTATGAGTGCATCATTGACAATTTCCAGAAGCAGATGGGAGGTGTTACCTCCTGTGGTACATTCCCCACACCCTGCATTGTCCTTGAATTGGCTACTAATTGGTAAATGTAGGATCATGCTGATCACAGAGGAATCTGCTGAAGTTTAGAACAGTCGCCAAAAGAATTCTCCTTTTTCCAAAGCACTTAAAGTTCAGCTCAAAACTGTCTGCCTGGATGAGTAGTCAGTTTAAATTGGGTTAATCAGACTTTTTTTTGTTGTTGTTGTTAGAAAAAATGAGTTCTGATGTTAAGGATATGTTTTTCTTTTCATTTTTGTTTGTTTCCTCCTYCCAAAACATTTTTTCTTCCAAACTTGTGGAAGATATGAAAATTCTTTCTCTATATATGTAGTATGAATAGTAATGCATTCCACTGTCATATACTCACTACTGTCATGTCATATGTAGTGAGTAATGCATTCCGCTGTCATATACTCTGCTGTCATGTCTCWCTAGTGGAGCTCAGATCACCCCTTGAGCCACTTGTCCTAATCATGTGGAGTGCTCATGTTGATGCAATGGGTGCTTCAGTGTGGCATAGTGTGTGGAAGGGCAGAATTCTGCTTAGTATTTGTTTTAARTACAGCTTATTGAAATCCTAAATATTGTAAATTATAATCTTTGCAAAGGTATACGTGAAGGAAAAATACTGAACAATCTTCTTTAAAAGGTAAAAAAAAAAAAATAAGTCTTTCAGTAATTGGGCCCAAGTGATCTCTGTGCTCCTGAGTGTGTCCTATCAGGCCTTAGACTCAGAACTCCATCCCTCCACTGTGTGCCTGGTGCAGCAAAAGCTGGCTTTTAACTTTGTTATGCTTGGATACGAAGTGTCCTCCTAAAGCTCCCATATTAAAGCAGGAATAAAATTGGAAGGTGAAACAACTGGACAGAGAACTATAGTCTAATCAGTCCATCCTAGTTTAAAAGGACTACTGGGTGGTAACTGTAAGCAGTGGGACTTGGCTAGAGGAGGTGGGTCCCTGGGGCCAGGTCCTGGAAGGGTTCACCTTCCCAACTGCCCTTCCCCTCTCCCACTCTGTTTCTGACCTTMTGAGACCATAAGCCAAAATATACTTTTCCTCTTCTAAGTTCTTCTTGTTGGGTATTTTGGTCACAGGGACACAAAGCTGACTAAYGCAACCCTTTCTGAAACAGAAGAAAATAATTATCATGTTTTCCATTTGGTATTGTGGCCTTGGATTTCTTCCAGTATTTATATCTAATGAATAATTATGGTCTGTATATAAAAMGTAAGATTGAATGTCAATGAATTTTCAGTCAACAATTTTCATTGTTGTGTAAAAGAACTGCTTCCTTGTATGGCTGTAAAAGAAACCCATGAAAAAACAACTTACCATTCATCTTGCAGATTTGGGCTCTGTTGCTTTCCAAATATATATATTAAAATTGCTTTAGACAGCTTTTTTGCTGCTGCCACTAAAAGACCCAAAAAAACACTATAAAGGAGGAAAGGTTTATTTCGGGACTCATGATTTCAGAGGTCTCAGTCCATAGAAGGCCATCTCCATTCCTTGGGACATGAGGTGAGGCTGAACATCATAATAGAAGAGTGTGGAGGAGGAAAGCAGGCTCACATAATTATCAGGAAGCAGAGTGAGAGAGAGAGACCCCATTCTCCAGATACAAAATATATACCCCATAGCCACTCCTCCAATAAAAATACTTCCTCCAGCCACCCCCACCTGACTCCAGTTACCACTCAGTTAATCCCATCAGGGTTTAATCAACTGATTAGGTTAAGGTCATAAACMAATCATTTCTCCTCTAAAACTGGCATTGTCTCATGTGTGAACTTTTGGCAGACACCACATCTAAACCATAACAAAAATTATGCATTAGTACAGTGACTCCAGTTGTGTGGGATATTTGGGAATCTATACCAACTAAAATGTTTACAGGTCAGCCTATTGTCTTTTTGTAAAGATTCATTATGTTTTTAATAGCCATTCTCTGTCCCTTTGAGTCACCTGACAATGATGCATCATCTTGCTTGCTTGAAGTATTGCAAAAAATGTTCAAGTTTTTTTTTTTTTGCTTTGCTCTATGGGCTCAGGAAGGGGTTTATTGTCTCTGTTATGTTTATTCACCAATTTGAACATTGTTTGTTGTGCTTTGCTATTGTAAGCAGTAAATATGGTTTAAAATTACGCCCCCTTTATAAGCTCCTTATTTCATGTAGCTCCTAATTCACAGAGCTAGAATTGAATCCCAGATAGGCTTATTGCAGTCTATGCTTTACAATCCTACACCATGCCACCTTCCTTGTAAATTATAAATTGAGGGAAGGATGTCAGAACAAAGATGACAGCAGAAACAAAATGCACAAATAAAAAGAGTCAACTATAATAGGTCTGAGGAAAAGAGGTTGGTAATGTGGTTAAAAGTATATGTGGAAAAAGAAGAGACAACTGGATAGATCCATTGAGGCTTTGAGTGAAAATTCAACAACATTTTGAAAGGTAATTCAAAACTTTTGTCTCWTCTGTTTCTTAAGAGCAGAGAAGAGGATGAATAAGAAGGTGCTGCTGCCCTTTACTATGGTTTAGGTAAGGTTTGAGTTTTCACAAAGATTCATGTGTTGAATGAAGCTTGGTTCCTAAACATGGGAGTAGAAAATGATGTGTTAACTTTAGGAGGTTGGATGTGGAAGGTTCTTAAGTCACTGGAGGTGAGCTCCCTCCAGAGTGAGTTTTCCTAAGAGTGTGAGGCTGACACTTGAATTCCTTGCTTTCTGCTTAGCAATGAGATCTCTTCCTTTCACAGGTGCTCTTACCATTGTGATCACCATGAGATCCCACCAGAGCCAAACTAATGCTGGAGACATGACCTGGAATCTCCAGAACTGTGAGATAAATAAACCTTTTATTTTTTTTCAAAATACTCTGCCAGTGGTATTTTGTTATAGTAGCAACATATGGACTAATACACCCTCTAAGAATTTTTTGCTCATTGCCCCCTTCCACTTTTAATTTTTTTTTTGAGCATCATGTTGATGCTCGAACTTTTGATGTATTGCTCATATTTCAATGTTGTTTATTACTTCCTTTTATAACTATAACCAGTTGCATCAGCATTATTTTGTCARGGAAACTTTTTGCTTCCCAACTGGTATTTTTTAAAATCCTTGTATATTAAAAATCCAATAGTACCCAATGATTTACCAATACTCACGTAATAGTGCCTCAGAAGTATACCTTATATTTTTGTGGCTACCTATATTTATGCAGTGTGCATTTCTGTTAAAATAACTTCTTTTTAACTGATACTCAGTACAAATTGATTGCAATCAGGAAAATTGCAATGGGGCTACCAAACCTAGCTTTGAAAATGATTAAAAAAATGTGTGTGACAGAAAAAATAAATAACTCAATCAAGGAAGAATGATACAGAGAGGGGGAGGGCAAGAGAGTGATTGGGTAAGGAAGAAAGAGAAGAAGAGGAGGAGGGAGAGAAGAGGGGATGGGGTAGGTGAAGRGGAGGAGTAAGAAAAATTGGAAGGAGGAACAGAAACAGAATACTCTAGCCATAAGACTATTTAACTGGATTTTTTTTCATATTTTTTTTTGGTTGTAAATGGACACAACATCTGTATTTTATTCATTTATTTTTATGTGGTGCTGAGGATTGAACCCAGTGCCTCATGCATGCAAGGCAAGCGTTCTACCAATGAGCTACAGCCCAAGCCCATGGATAATATTTTCTTAACAGCCATCACATAAGATATAAATTCCTTAACATCATATTATGCAATATTGATTACAATCRGTTCTTCAACTCTCACGAGGAACTCTAATAGCATTTAGGCAGAGCCTCATGATCTGCACAATTCAAGACATTCTGGAGTTTGAACTCCCAGGAATAGCTATGATGCAAAGGCCATGATAGAACTCCCTGCATCACCCGAAGCTCCCATTAAAAGAACAGCTCACAGGGACAGCAAAGCACTGATAACAGAACTGAGATGTGGAAGCAAAAGACAGACTGTGCTTTAACTCAGTATTTGGCAGATAATTGACATGTTGCAGAATTTAATGGGAAGGTCAAACTCACGTAGACTATCAATTGAGAACAAATAGAACAAAAAAATATCTTGAAAATGAATATGAGCAAAAAGTAAGTAGTGATGACCTGAAATCTAACATTATGTTCAGTGTGCATAAAGTTAACACACTCAAACAGAACAAACACACATAAGATTCACCATGTCTAGAGCATATCTTGGAGACCAGATCAGAACAAAGACACAAACTTTCATGGAACATGAGTAATTAAAATTACATTAAAGCCCAGAATATACCTGATATTTATGTTTATATTGACATAATAGTAAAATGTATATAACTTTTTAAAGTATAATCCCATGTAATCTATTTTGAATTTCCATAAATCCTGAAATAATGTTTCTACATGTCTATATAGCTACCTAAAGAGCATAATCCTTCCTTTCCTACAATTTCAGAATGACTGTTGATTTTTATGGGATTTTACAAAGTGGTTTCTTTATGGAATTCATGAAAAGTGATTAAGATTTCCTCACCCAATGAAGTGAAAATGATCCATGAATGCATCCTGAAAATGTTTATTTAAAGTGTCTAATGGCAATCTCTGTTATTATATAACATGAAGCTCCTTTTAGTTAAAATACTATCCTTTCTAAATGGGCTTATGTCTGACTCACCTAAGTTGTATGTCTCTGTTTAYGTTTCTTATTTTATTTATTTTTCTCTCTCTTGCTTTTAAGTGGAAGCAAAATCTTCCCACTTCAATTTTCTTCCATATGTGACTTTGTAAGTAATTTTCAGGCATTTTTTTTAAATAAGACTTTAGTATTTTCTCACCACTTTAAATAAAGTGTGGCTATTTTCAGTGCACTTAAAATAATACCCAACATACATTTATTGTRTACTTAAATATCTGAAGTTCTAGGTTATATATTTAAAACCATAAGTTTAATATTTAAATAACCCCTTTAAAAGGAATTTTCTTGGTCCCATTTTGCAGATAAAAATGCTGAAATAAGGTGTTGATAACTTTGTGAAAATCTCAAAACAAGGTGAGTATTCTCAGCTTAGTATCCAAACAGCAGAATTTGGTCACTCATTTTTTTTGYACTTCTGAGCATACTTTTCCTTTTSCAGATTTCCATTAATTTTAATCAGGACTCAACATTACCTGTTGATTTTATTATATATCTCAAATCTACTCTTTACCTTATTCCTGTTTTAAGAATTCTAATCTTCTAATCTTTAATTTTCTCAACATTTTTCTAATCTAATAGATCAAAATCAATGTGTGATTTTGATGCTCAGCCATAGAGGAGATTCAATGCCTGAGAACAGATAATCCAGAAACAAAATCTTATACTTAATCCTCAATGTACCTAATTCATAATCCTGTAGACTATAGACACTCCATAAATATCTCTCCAGTAATTAAATCTTTATGAGCCTCTACACCATTACAGAGTTGCCTTAAGGCACTAATGTCTGGAAAGAGTTGATAGAAAATACACAAAATAATTTACTCTGTTGAATTGATTGCTTATATTAASGCATGGCAAATGGGGACTCTTGAAAAAATAGAACATCTACAACACACGTCTTAAATTTTGAAAATTTTAATTGCAACTCACAAGTGTTGTAGTAATGATCAAAAGATTTAATAACCTATAGATTGATCAATTAGATTGTAAAGACAATTTATTACAGACAGTTCAACTATGATTCCTTAAAATATAAAAAGAGAATTTCTAAATTTCTGGCCTATATTTAATCACAAGCATTGTTTAACAATAATAGTAATAAAACAAATGAAATTATTTTCATCACTGTTTAGAATTAGTATCCTGTCTTTTACATATATGAAAAGTCAGATTTTCAGTTTGAGTTTATAAATAAGAAAGTGTTGAAGACAAGATAGAAATAACACATACACACTGGGCTACACTGCCTTTGGAAAGCTTACAAGTAGACTGAAACATACAAGGAAACACTCAAAAGATTTGTGTTTAGTAAAGAGATATTTTTCACACTGAAACATGATGAAAAATTTTCTGAAAAAAAAAACTATCAAAGAAGTGTCAGCTATTATTAGTCTAAATTATGTGCTATTCAAAACAACAAAGRAAAAGAGAGGGGAAATGGAGAGGAAAAATATTTAAAAATGAGTGATCAATAATTTTGTAAAAATAATTCTTATTTTAAAAAGCTAGAAACATATTACTGAAGACCAAAGATAAAGAGAAGTGGTAAAGACTGACAGAGAAAAGACACACTATTATATAGAAAGAGCCAAAGACAAAA